GGCGATTACCGCGGAAAATCATATAAGCTACGTTCTGAGGAAGACAAGAGGGAGCCAAAGGACTCCGTAAGCGGCGCTCAGGGGTCGGGGGCCGCGGGAGGCGGAGAGGCAGGAGAGGAGAACCATCGCGCGGAGAAACAAGGTCGGGCAGACGAAACAACAAAAAAACAATTTGAGGCGAGAAAGCCCATGCGTTGTTTCCGCTGAAACGAGACGGATCATATGGCGGCTGGTTGCCGAAAGGCTCGGGTGGTATTCTCGTACCTTAGTAAAGATGACGAGAACGACAGGCTACTCAAGCCTTATCTCCACGACCTCCTCGTGAACGGCGAGCCCTGCAAGGTGCTCAGGGACTGCGCCGCCACGTTGGACGTCGTGCACCCATCCCTCGTGCAAGCGGACCACTACACTGGTGAGTGTGCGTGGATACGGCAGGTGGTGGAACAGCAGAGCGTTTGTCTGCCGGTAGCCAGGGTGACGATTCAAGGTCCTTTCGGCACACTGGAGACGGATGCTGCGGTTTCAGCTAACCTACCACACCAGTATCCGTACCTCTTTTCTAATAAATCGGACCAAAAACTGCGTAAAATGGGAAAGCGTTGGACCGACGGGGTAGTGATGGCACTAACTCGGTCGAAAGCGCGGGAGCTTGCTAGCCAGCTTAGATACAATGAGCAACCCGAAACCTCCGAGAACGTGGTGTTGACTGGGGACGCTGGGCAGGCAAGCGAGACGCGGTCCGAACCCCACGACGAAGAAGAGGACTCTCCAGGCTCAGATGAGTCCTCAAATTGTGACGTTTTGGAAATGGCTGAGGGGCGCGTTGTTCCTCCAGTCACTTCTAGGTTGCAAAGTCTGCTGAGAGTGGGGACGGCGAGTTTGCAATCCGAACAGAAGAGTGATCCCAGCCTCAAGGTACTCTCCAATACAAAGAGGGAAGGGGTAGCCCGGAAAAACATTACGTTTTACGAGAAAGGGGGTCTCCTTCATTGGAAATACGAGGACAGGCGAGGAAGGGTTTATGATCAACTCGTAGTGCCTTCCAAGTACCGCTCCGACCTCCTCCATGTGGCGCATGAAAACCCTTTGTCAGGGCATCTCGGTACAAAGAAAACCAAAAAGCGATTACTTCAAGAGTTTTATTGGCCAGGGTGTTTTCGAGATGTTAAGAAACACGTGAAGACATGTAGCGTGTGCCAGGTCGTCGGGAAGGCGAACGACAAGTGGAAGGCCCCTCTAAAACTGGTCCCGTCGATCTCTGAGCCTTTCAAGCGCCTGGTAGTGGACACGGTAGGGCCCTTGCCTGTCACTGAGTCAGGATACAAGTACCTTCTTACAATGATTTGTCCTGCCACTAAGTTTCCGGAGGCGGTGCCTCTGAAAAGCTTGAGCTCAACGGAAGTCGTCGACGCTTTCCTGACCGTATTTGTCAGAGCCAACTTGAACTTGAGTGCATTTAACCATTTACCCAAGTAGGCTACAGTATTTTGTGTGTAGAGAGCAATTGTATTCAGACGTTGTATTGCTTTGCTGGTCCTAATATCGGCAAGTTCAGTTTTAGCTGTCGTGGGATTTATGATGAGTGTGACATTGTATTTTCGAGTGAGATTTTAAGTAGGGTAGAAGCTTTGTGTCTGGTTTATCTTACTCCGTTATCTGGCGTTCCTTTGAGTTGGGTTGGGTGCCTGCCTGCTTTCTACGGTTGCCGGTGTTGCGCGGGTTAATTCCTATCGTTGCTGAATACGTCTTGAGAGCAGTGGGGGTTCTACGTGGCCGGCAGCAAGACACATCGTTCCTTGAGGCGACCAGGAGGATGCTCACCTTTGGAACGACTTCCCCGGCGGCGGAGGGGCTGTTGCAATCGGCAACGGCAGCGCGGATGGCTGTTGAAATCGGCACGTCGGCCCGCCGATGGACGTCGGCGGCCATGGTTCGTCGTCTCATGTTTCGTTCACGGGCGAGGCCCGTCGTCACGTAATTCACCGCCGAAATAACGTGTCTTCGAGGCGTTGAGCCGGCCGAATGTCTGCTCTTCTTGAAAGCCAAGTGAGATACCCGGGCAAGGTCAACCCAGCGGACCTCGGACCCGAACATTACGTCAAGCTCTCGCCCTGCCTGCCCCAAGACACCTGCAAGAACGACGCCTTCAAAAGAGGCTAGTGCGTTGATGCATGGCGCCATCGAGTAAGCCGACCTCTTCGGTGTGGTGTGCGCGGACGTGTGACGTAACTTGGACAGAGGGTCTTTCCGAGAAGGCGTGGGTGACGAAACTGGTGCACCTCCGCGATTGGTTTCCGCCCGACTGCATGGCAACCGAAATACTTTCAAAGCACTGAGCTCACCTAACTCGTAGAGCTCACCAAGATCAAGGCTCATAGCTGCAGCTAGCTGCTGTATAGCCAGACCTCATTGCTCCCTTGACATGTAAATAAAGGAGAGTTTTAACCATCGCCGCCTGCTGAGATTCCTGCCAGGAGCTCCGTCCGGATCTGGACCCCAGCCGAGCCTGGTCCATCCTGGGGACTCACGTCGGCCGCGACAGTACCAGTTCGTACGAACCAGCGTTCAATTTCTCGGGAATGTGATCACGGCGGAAGGCAGAACACCCGATCCTCAGCGTGTTTCTGCAGTCGACAAGCTTCAGCCCGAGAGGGATGCAAAGCATCTTTACTCATTCCTACAGTTCCTAAATCACTTTCGAAAGTTCATCCCGGACTTCGCAACACGATCATCACCGCTGCGTAAGCTAATGCTGAGGGACGCGAGCTTCGAGTTGTCTGACGAACATCAAAGGATCGCCGACGACCTGAAGCATTGTCTAAAGACTCCGCCGGTTTTGGCCACTGTTGTGTTCAGCTGCATACGTATATTCATTCGAGCAACCCTGTGCGTGAGAGCACACGGGTCTAAGCAAGACCGCCATGACCACGACGTTGCCGCGATGGTAACCGGACTCCCATTGTATGCCGAAATGCGGCTCCTTAGTATGTAATTAAAAGTGTTATACCAAGACACGACCAATTGGCGACGAGGACGGGATAAGTATGTACTCCGTCCATGGGGACATTGCCCCCTTCTCAGCGGTCGGCGGAATCGAAGAGCGCCCGTGAAAACGAGGCTTAGCGGACGGCAGGAATCCGCGCCAAAACCACGATGGCAGCACCGGTACCGGCGGCACTCATCGGTAAGCTCGACAGCTTTGATGAATCGGCGGAGGATTGGACCTCCTACATCGAACGAGCAGATGATTACTTCGTGCTGAATGGCCTACCGGACGAAAAGAAGGTCGCAGCCATCATAACAAGTATAAGAGCCAAAACCTACTCCATCCTTAGGAAACTAACGACGCCAAGCAAACCGTCTGAGAAAACTTATGAAGAGATCAAGAATCACCTGAGTGACTACTTTTCGCCTGCGCCGCTGAAACTGTCCGAGTGTCACCGATTTTACAAAAGAATGCAGAAAGGGAGCAATGAGGTCAAGGGAGCAATGAGGTCTGGCTATACAGCAGCTAGCTGCAGCTATGAGCCTTGATCTTGGTGAGCTCTACGAGTTAGGTGAGCTCAGTGCTTTGAAAGTATTTCGGTTGCCATGCAGTCGGGCGGAAACCAACAGAAACTGCCAACAAGTACATGGCTGAACTTCGGTGTCTCTCTCATTGTGTATCTCTCTTTTTGATAATTGCCGTTTTGTCTCTCATATTATTGTAATTTCATTTCATTTCATTTATTATCCCTTAAAGGCCCCGCCAGGGGCATTACATAAGGGGGGGGGGATACAAAGAAACACACAAGTAGAACTTTTATACAATAAAAACAAGAAACAAAACATAGAAACAAGATGTGGCTGAGCACTGGCCATAGGTAGGAGCATCGCACTGATTACATATTAAATATAGACGATACAGCATGTCTGAAGAGGTCGGGGTCACTGATGAGCACTACATGGTCCGGTAGATTGTTCCACTCTATTATGGCAAGGGGAAGAAATGAGCTGTTAAAGGTGACAGTGGAACCATGGATGCGACGTACACTAAGGGAGTTAAAAAGTCGTCGGGGTGAACGATGCGGTTCTAACAGTAGAGACTGCCTAAGTAAAGGGTGGTAATAAAAAATCCTCTGGAAAAGACAGATGCGTGATATTCTTCGGCGAGAAATGAGAGTGGGGAGGCATAAGGAAGCCTTCATGGCCGACACACTGGCAGTGCGTTCATAATTAGAAAGAATGAATCGGGCAGCACGATTCTGAATTGATTCGAAGGTGTTAGTGAGGTAAATTTGGTGTGGGGACCAAATGGCAGCAGCATACTCAATCTTCGGACGCACAAAAGTTTCGTAGGCCAGCTGGCGCAAAGCAGGAGGGGCTGAGTGCAGACAACGTCGAATGTAACCAAGCGTTCTGGAAGCTTCGGCATGTATGGAGTCAATGTGGAGGGTCCAAGACATAGGGGAAGAAAAATGAACGCCAAGGTATTTGTACGATTGAACACACTCAATTGTTGATGAGCCTAGAGAATATTTGAAAAGAGATGGGGAATGTTTTCGAGAAAAACAGACAAACTTACATTTAGAGTCCCAGACAGAACACAAAGTCCTGAGGATATCCCCATAATATCCCGATGTCCCGGCCGGGAGGAACTAATTCTGGGGATATCCCTGGGACTGCAATCCTCGGGATATCCTGCAAGGGACATGTGTGGGAGATCATGTTAAAGGCCATTGTCCTGGGGACATTCGTCGGATTGCACCCCAGTATATCCCGTGCGGGAAGAGTTTGGGAAATTCTCCTGTTGAAAACTCAACCAGTAGAATACAAAACTAAATGCACAAAAATTTAAATATATATATATATATAAATAATTAAATAATTTTAATTGTTGTCTTATTATTATAAATGTACTTTAATACCATATTTAATGATTATAAAGCTTCAAATCGAATACGAAATTATGGCGGTACTAGTATCGGCTATAGGCAACTTAGCGCGTGCGCAGTTTGTACGGTTGGACTATTTGGCGCGATTCCGTAAAGAAACAAAAACTCGTTTTCGTCGTGAAATGAGCAAGGGTGACAGGTAAGCACACTTTTTCTTACTTCATAAGTTTCGCGGTGTCAGATAAACTGTTCATGAACGCTTCGTGCGTAACCCTGTGATCGTTCTTGCTCGCGGTTTTGAGTGATCCGGGCGCGGTGTTTGGTTGTGGCACAGGTGCGGTCGCGCGCTGTCATGCCTAAACACAAGACGTCCCGGACGTTTCGGCGGAAACTACGTGAAAATGTACGAATGAGTCTACGGTTGGCAGGCGCGGCCGTCGATTTGGTGTGCGATTCCGTCCCCGCAGTTTACTGTGAGACTGCGGTAGCGGGCGAGTCGGACGGGTCGTCCGGCAGTGAGGGACCCAGCTCCGGCATACGTTTTTCTGCTGCCACCGAACGTGACGCAGAGAGTCAGGAAACAGTCTTGAACACCAGTGAGGGAAGTCTCTTTTCTGGAAGTATCGAAAACACTGGAGGTTCTAATGTTTCCGCTCACAGTAATGACGGCGACAGTGGAGCCGCAGGTGCCGCGGGCGCGAAAATTCCGAAACCTTCAAGTGATGGAGAAAGCGATTCTGTTGACCAATTTAGAAACGATGGAGTATCAAGAACAGTATCTCACATCAGGCTCTGAATGACCTAAAATTGGTGAAGAACCATCCCTGCTTCTCGTCCCTGCCAAGCTGTGCTAAAACTCTGCTTGATACTCCAAGAAACTGCCCAGCAATAACGGAGTTGGGTGGCGGGCATTATTGTCATTTTGGACTGGCTGCTGGTTTGGTGGACAATCTACAAGCTTTGACAACTTTCCCAGAATGCCTCTACTTGCAGATAACAGGGTTGCCAGGTGTTTGAACTCCAACCCGCCAAACGTCTACGAGATATAGCCCAAAAATAGCCAAATGTCAATCCAGAAAAATAGCCCAAAAATAGCCAAAAAAAACAAACAAACTTATCATTTGATACGTTTATTTTGAGCTAATATTAGTAGTATTAGTTTTAAATTCAGGATACCTGCTGAAGGCTGGAAAATAAACAATTTTAGATTGAGAATGTTAGTGTGCAGTGCAAATTTACTAACCATTGCAGCTGAGTAATACGTAGGTCTTCATTCTTTTTGCAAACTAATCTTTGTGCTGCCTTCCCTCAGCTGTCTTCCCTAAAATAACAAATGCCTGTACTTGGTTTTACTTTTAGGAATGTTTGGAATCGTGAAATTCAGCGATTATGATGATCAGGTCGCAGTTGTTCCAAGGTCCTGGTATAAGGATGGCTATGTCGCTTGGCCACCAGAGAAGAACCCGAGAAAGTTGCAACAAATGGTGCAAAACGTGCACCAACCACCAGACTCCTGGGAGCGGCTAAAGTGCACTGCCATGGATTGGTTTGGTTAGTATGGCAGTGAATTCCCATAACTTGCATTTCAGAACTCATTGCACATCAATTGGTTTTAAAAGTTCAGCAGTTAATGAACTTTTTTTCTTTCTATTTATGGAATTTAATCGTTCCAAAATGTGTAGCGTGTGAAATTTTGTATCGTGTTCCTTTTTTTTTTCTTTCTCGAACTTGCAGAGTCTTACGAGAAGGCTAGACGAAAACTTCCGCGAGCCGAAGAGACCTCTGATTTGCAAAGTGACGTAGAAAGACGCCGAAAAAAGCCGATGCGATGGGAGACAGATGAAACTGATGAGGATGATGTACTGGTTGGCTTCTGTGCCTCAACTTCCAGTAAGCTATTGTCTACAGAATATTCTGCACAGCTTATGGTTCTAGCGGTTCGATTATCATGTTACTCATAAAAAAATATTTCATTTATGGCCTGGGTAGAATAGGCATGTCTCAAAATTAGTTTCTGTTGGAAATTTCCATTTGCAATATTTGCGTCACAATTTTTTAGTTCTTACGAGCGACACCGAGACTTCTCTCTATTTTGCCATTACTCCGCACAAGAAAAAAAAGTGGGGAAGGGGTGACTTTGAGTCATTGGATAAGTGTCACCCACTCTGCACTTTTTTCTTGTGCAGACTAATGACCGAATAGAGAGAAATTTCAGTTTCATTCCTAATAACTGAAATTCTCTTCTGCAACCTGAATATTGCTAGGAGAGAATCTTCCTTACTACGTGTCATTTCTTTGTTAAATTATCTGAAGAGTATGTTGGTCGAGCTAACTGCAGCAGGAGAAATAGAACACACAGGATGACAAACATTTCTTCTAAATGTTCGTCGTCCTGCGTGTTTTACTCTTTCTTTCGTCAATCTTCCTTCAGACCTGTCAAATAAAGTTCAGCTAAACGAAAAAGCTTTTTTTGCTTCTTCCTCACGCCTTTATAGGGTCTAGCCCTTTCCCACCCCATCACCACGTGGTGGTGCATCTTTTGCGACCTTAACTTGTATTCGGATGTAGACCTCGTGTTCATGTTGGCTTTGAGCATGTGTGTCTACAGTAATTTCCCAAACAATTTTTTCAGAGGCACACGGATACTTGCAACCACGAAAGGAACCACTACCACCTGCGGTAGAGTCTGATGATGAGTGGGACGCAGTGGGAGCAAGCTCTTTTGAACCACCACCAACCCCTCCTGTGGTCATCAATGAGCCCCCTCAAGTGCAACAAGGTGAGTTACAGTTGAGCCTGTCTGGTTTTCTTTCCCTTACAGTTTAGGCTTTTCTCCATGACTTCTTTTAGCACCCCCTAGCTGTCGGAATTTGTCAAATCAATTGAGTTATATCACTACAAGGCTATTTTTTTAGCTCCAGTCATCAGGCACATTGTATTTTATTATGTTGTTTAATTGACTTCATATCAGTTTGATTTGCAAATCAAACTGCTAATATAGTAGTCAGGTACTCGAGTATACTTCATATTCGTCAAAAGGCGACCGAAAGACCTGTCCTGTTAGATTCGGAATATGCGAAATGCATTTTGGTTTTCTCATTCTGCTATGGGCTAGCTAATAAAGTATAAATAAATATGTATATTCTGAATACTGCATACTCAAAAGTACGCAGATAAAAAGGCCTTTTGCGATCGACAGATAAGAATTATCTGTCGATCCCCGTTTCAAATTGAAATATTGTTGCAAAGTGCATTTCAGAGTGATAGATGAAGCATCCTTAGAAGCTTACACTATTACAAAAATTAAATGTGTAAAGTAGTTTTCTAGTTACGGCCCGATGGAAAAAGTTGACCACAGAATGCACACACCAGCTGCTTTTTCTTGCACAACTATGTAAATATTTGAGCTCATGCGAAATAAGTTTATTATTCAATTCAATATTCGGCTTTTGTTTTTAATACAATTATATTTGTATTATTTATAATACCATCAGCCCTACTGCATAAAGCTTTGAAAAAAATACTGTTGCTATTAAAATTATGAGCACGAGACTCGTACAAAAAAGCGGAGTGACCCAGCAACGGAAACATTGCATATATTTCATGGTGCCTATTATTCTGCTCTTGTGTGCTACAGTTTCAGGGCCGCATGTGAATACACACCATCTTGCATGAACTGCAGTTAATTCCTCAGGCTTCGCAGTTTATTATTGGTAACAGTCCCTAGTGTGCTGAGCATTCTTTTACTAAAGCTCTTAAGTTTTTGGCGATCTTCCAGATCATTCATCTCAGAAGACACACAAGGAAAACTTTAGAGTTGGTGTGAAAGGTGAGAGATATAAGAACCTTATTTTTAGTTTCGGAAATACTAAAATAATTATGCTTAAATTAACCATGTAGCCTCGTTAGCAGACTGAAAAATGTAGCTAGCATAGGCTCAGACTCGTGTATCATATTGCCTCATGTTGCATATATGGCCGTGCCAGTACCAGTACTAGATTCACTATTTGAAAATCTCGCACAGGTCACAATGTCAAAAGGCGACACCCATACGGAGAAAAGCACCAAAGTTACCATGCTGCAGACAACCAAGGTGTGTTCATTGCTGTTTCCCATAGTATTATTTTTCTGTTGTGCATAGCTTAGATTGAATTGTTGACATTGGAAAGCAAGTATAATGAACAGATCCAAATGAATAAGCTATTCCAGAGTATTCACAAATTTACCATAGCAAGTGTTTTCCTTAAAATAGGGTAATTTAACAGTTCACTTTAAAGGCCCGGTCACATTCTTGCAACCGAGTACGACTGAGAGAGACGAGACCGGTTTTTAAGCCTCTTGCGATCTCTTAGGACCAGCTCCGCTGCAGCGGAGCTGGTCCTAAGAAGTCGCAAGAGGCTGAAAAACCGGTCTGGTCTCTCTCGGTCTTACTCAGTCGCAAGAGTGTGCACGGCGCTTAAGCCTGTTTCTCTAATCAAGCAGTTGTGTCTCGTACTTACATTGCAGATAAATGCCAGATGCATAACATTAATATGCTAGATCAATCTCTCTGGGTAAATAATTGTTGCTTTAATGAGCTTAAATGAGCCAAGTCTGAATTATTGAAAGTTTTCTAAATCAGCAAGTTTACCCTATTCTCAGTTACTTTACCACTTTCCTGAAACATGTTTGTTGTGACACACGCATTAACAATATATACCTTGTATATTTTGCAGGAATGCAGAAAGAACTGTTCCGTTTGTTGCACATGGTAAAAGCTAAACAAGAGGAGCAGTCTCAACAACTGGACTTCATTGTGGCAAAGTTAAGCCAGAATGCTCAGTATGTCGAAGACTCCAGTGATGACATCATCTTGGACACATTCAACACGGTTGAGGATTTTCTGAGTTTCGACAATTCGTTGGAGAACGAAGAAATGAAGAAAAAGCTGGTAAGCTGGTGCCTATCATTCTAAGTTGCATCATGATTTTTTTGGGCTAGATTTTTTTAGATGCCTGTAGATTCAAATGTATGCCCATCTGCAACACCAAACAGCTTGCTTTGATTACAACCCGTGTCCTCCAGAAGAGCTCACACTAAAATGGCCTACGAAATTCAGCAATGATATATAAGGTTTTCACAAATATATTTTACTGGCCATATTTAGGCATTACAATTTTTAGTCTCAACTCGTACAAAGGAAATAAGAAGGATGTACACGTAGGAGAGCGCGTTGAAAACTACAGAATACACAGAAAGAATAAAACACATAAAGGACGAACACAGACGCACACTGTGTGCGTCTGTGTTCGTCCTTCATGTGTTTTATTCTTTCTGTGTATTCTAAGAAGGATGCAACTGACTTCCTCGACGGCACGGAGCACATTGTTGAGAAGAGATAGATGAGCAGCTATGTTTTTTAACATTACCCAGATATGGTCTGTCCAGTGCAGATAAGCACGAGAAACTACAAGATCAGCAAGTGCTTAGAGCTCGGATTTCTCTCAATTTCTGTATGGGTCTGCAATGCATTCGTCTGTGTAGGCTGTGTAAATGGACAGACGAAATGCATCTGTTTGTGTTATTGCGCACTGCAAAAGGAGATGATCGTCTGTTTGACGGAGGAGACCCAACATGTAGATTCTGGATCGGGTACAAAGAGACTGTCGAGTACATCTTGAGACAGTGCAGCTGCTTCTAGCACAGCTGTGAAAGTGCCTTTCAGGGCAGTGTGGTGTAGGCCCTGGGCAACGAAGACAAGGACGCGTGAGAAAACCATACTCAGGACGACAGAAGCAACAAAGTGCTGCCTGGTGGAGTGGAAGACTTGGTTGCACCGTGAAACCTCTTTCTTGAGCCCAAACATCAGCTACTGCAATAATAATTGGGGTTGTGGGGATATTTATACAGCGTGTAGTTGGTCTGCCATTAAAGTTGCGACGAGTCACACGCTGTAGATGAGCAATTTAGCCAGTGCTGTACAACCGCTAGCCTGGGGTCTTTAACGTGCACCACGCAGTAGTGATACACGACCGCACGCCGGTACGATGCTCATCCAGATCGAAACGGGCAGGGGTGGGGCTCGAACCCAGGATCCCTGGGTTCTGCAGCGCGAGCTTTCGCTCTACGCGCGTCGAGCTGGGTGTGCGCTTCAGCCCACTCGGCCACCGATCCCCCCTATGAGCTACTGCAGAGGGGTGGATTCAATGTAGTTTTGAAGAATAGTATGGATTGGTTTTGTAAGCTGTGGTGCTGTGACTTGTCAGGGGGGTGCAACTGGGTGGTGGATTTTAAAAAGGTACTGATTCATGTGACTGACTGAAACATGGCCGTCATTCTATCTCTTCCTGACAGTGTGTGTCCTACTTTTGACAAAAAGTCAGTTTCTTATTTATTATTTCTTTTGTGTTCTGAGTAAAGACCTAAACTTTTAGTACATTGAAAGCCACTTGATAGGTCAAGTTGATGACTTTGTGCGGGCCATTTTAAGTAAACATTGTTCTTGGACATCCTGCGCAAATATCTGGTGAAAATGTTATGTGTTACTAGTTGCATATTTTTATACTGAGAAATCTCATCCAAGCAGCCATGTGACAATCATGACACTGGATTCTAATAGTTATTTTTTTACTTTCTGTTGCAGAAGATGCATTGGAAAGGCTGTGACGGAAAAAGCATCTATGACGCCTTGCAAAGGGTCCTTCATAAGCTAATGTCAGATGAGGTGGCGGTTGAATTTAGCTTTCAAAGAGGCAAAGGGAAGAGGAAGTTTTGTTACCTTCGGAGCTGGACAGTTCTGCTTGGTATGTAACTTTGCTGACTTCTCACGATAGAGGCTTGCACCCGACAGAGAGTACTTTGGTGGTGCACACTGCAAACAAGCCTATACTAGTTTGGGCGCTGAATGTACTGAAAATTTGTGACGGCAAAAGCTAATCAACTGGAAAATTTAACACAATCAACATTTACTCTTCCTATAAATTTATGCAGGGACTGTGAACTAGTGAGCTTGCATACTTTCCTTTACTTTACATAGTTGACAAAACATAATATTTCTTTGGGGTGATGCTACTACCCACAGCCCATGCGCAAGCATAAGTGTGATGTGATAATTAGCACCTAAAATTGGTTATGATCAATATTTAACATGTTAAGCATTCCATTTAACTGTGGCATCTCAACATGATCAGCCCATATATGCCATAACAGTTGTTGGGCTTTGTTGACTGAATTTGACTTCACACTATTGAGTGGTGCACTCAAACCTTCAGGAATTCAAAATATTAAAACTAAGAAGCCTGATAGTCACAACATCTCGACCTAAGGAGCCGTCGGTGGCTGCTGCAGCAGCAGGCGTCGAGATACGCCAGCTACCTGCAGCAGCACATTATTTCTTGATCCCATGCTCGCAGTAAAGCCGAGTTGCACTGACATCATAAAGATTCAGGACTTGTCAAATTTTTTTGCCCACTGGTTTTTAGACATCAAAGTTTGCTAGAAGCAGCTTTATAAAACAATAATTTTATTGCCTATCTTGGTGGCTGCATATGCTCCATTTCATACTTAATGTGCAACGCTGTTAAGGCTACTGGCGCAAGCGTGTGGCATGATCTTCGCTTTTGCGCGCACCCTTGCATAAGTGGGATGCTAGATGAAGCCACACGCTTGTGCCAGTAGCATTGCATTGAAGCATGAAACGGAGTGTAAGAATTAATGATTGGAATGTGCCAACCAATGTTAAGTTGCTTTGAATCCTGGAAAAATACACTGTGCATTTGGTTACTTATTCTTGTTTCAGAAACCAGCTGACTTCAGGTTCCATGCACTACTTCAGCTTTGGAACACACTTGCATTCTTTATCGTTCCAGAATGTCTGCTCGCCAATAAGGGCCTTGGGGCAACTGAATACAAGGTGGAGAAGGCGCTGAAGTCATGGCTGGCCCATGCGAAGGAACGGATGGAGAAACGGCAGCCAGAAAAGTAGGAGAGGGGCTGCTAATTCGACGGCAAGGTTCTGGTCATTTTTAAATACTGGGCGTCTCAAAAGAAAGCTTAACTCTAAAATGGCCTGTAAAAATCAGCGATTTGATGTATCGAGAGAAATTTTCTGAAATATGTTGTTTACTGGTCAAATTATTTAATTGTATTTGAAGTTTTAAGTCTGACTTCAAGGAACTTAAAATTAAAAACATTACTTTTTCAAGAACTTGATGACTTGTTGGTAACAGTTCCAACAACGGCATTGGTTGCTTGCCTTTTGCAGGGAAGGCATCACCAGTCCGACAAGCGCCACGCACGTGTTTCTAAAGGCTCGTTTACACACTTGAGACGAGACTGGCTTTTAAGCTTTTTGCGACGTCTTAGGACCGGGTGCGCTGCTGCGGAGCTAATCCTAAGACGTCGCAAGAAGCTTAAAAACCAGTCTTGTCTCTCCGTCCTACTCGTTTGCAAGACGTGAACGGCGCTTAACTTTGTGTTCCTGCGGGAGATACCTGTCAGAATTAAGTTCTTGGTGTGCCTGTCTAACCTAATTGAAAACTCGTGCTAAGAACTTAATTCTGACAAATATCTCCCTCTGAAACATGAAGTGAGAACAATGCATTAAGTACTTAATGGACTGGTAGCGCCATTTCTGTAAAAAGTAAGCAAACATGGCCATTTTTTTTAGCTGTTCACGAGAGCTACCGCCAAGTCCTTGAAAATGTCATTTTTAGTTGAAACTTGTAAATTTTAATGGAAATATCTAACCAGTAAACAACAAATTTTCTATGTGATACATAAAATCACTTTTTTGCAGGCCATTTCAGAGTACAACTTTGCTTTTAAAATGCCTGGTATATTGTGATATTTTTATTTTTGGAATGTTAAGCAAACATTTATTTTAATAATATATATTAGGGCAATCTTTTTCTGATAATAAAGTATTCAATGCTTTTGAGGCTAACATGTGCCCATGTCTTTACTGAACAGCTTTCTTCGAGCTCAGCCCTACAGGTTACCTGAGATATCTCACTCGCATGAAATTTTATTGTTGCCAAGCTCATAGTCACTGTGGAAAATGTATGTTTAGGTAAGAACACAGCTGGCAAACTGTGCAGTCAAGTTCTATTGGTACACACTTGACTTGCAGCTGACAGCTATGTGACCCAGGCCACTGCCTACAAGCGTCGAGTGCCAGTCAATCAACGCAACGGAGATATTATATTACCATAGTCTGGCCAGCACATGAGGAGGTTGGCACGCTGTATGTTGGAGCTGCCTGTAAGGCCCCGCATATAAACCTACAGTGTACAGACGGCAACCCGTAGGGCCTGGTACGAAGATTCCAGGTATAAACGTAGCAAATACTGACAACATCCATAGGGATATGTTGAGAATATACTGGGGACCAGAAAAGTGGGCCAAAAGAATATCCCACGGATGTCCTAGGGAAATATATCTCCCACCACGAATATCCTGGGGATATCTCAAGGACAACCCGGATCTGGTACGGAGATCCCACGGATAAACGTAGGAAATACTGACAACGTACCAGGGGAAATTCTGGGGATATGCTGGGGACTAGAAAAGTGGTCCAAATGGATATCCCACGGACATTCTGGGGAAATATATCTCCCACCACAAATATTCTGGGGATATCCCAACTTCCGAGTGGGATATTCTGAGGAGGTCCTCAGAATATGCATGTTCTATCTGGGGTGGTTTAGTAACATTAGCCATTGATCACACCATTTGGTTATATTATCGAGGTCTTTCTGAAGAAGAAGGTGATCGGAGGAGCAATTTATTTGGCGATAAATGACACAATCATCAGCAAATAAACGTATGTTAGAGGTGATAGAATTTGGAAGGTCGTTAATAAAGATCAAGAAAAGAAGCGGACCTAGGACACTGCCTTGTGGGACCCCAGACGAAACATCGGTAAGGCTTGATTCTAAAGTGTTGACGACTGTATATTGGACTCTGGATGAGAGAAAGCTGCGAATCCAAGATACGATTAAGGGATCAATATTGAGTCGCGATAGTTTTGCGAGTAGGCGTAGGTGAGGAACCCGATCGAAAGCTTTCGAAAAGTCTATGAAGATGGCATCCGTTTGAGAGAGCGAGTCAAGGTTAGTGTGCAGGTCGTGAGAAAATTCAAAAAGTTGGGTGTCGCAGGAATAACCCTGGCGAAAACCATGCTGGTTTTGGAAAAAAAAAGTTATAACAGGTTAGGTGATTCATAACGTTAGAGAGGATGATATGCTCTAAAAGCTTCGATGCAATGCATGTGAGCGATATGGGACGATAGTTATCAGGAAGGGATCGATCTCCGCTTTTGAAGACGGGAATGACGCGGCCAATCTTCCAGTACGTTGGAACGCAGCCGTCTGACAATGACTGGTTAAAAATGAGCTGAAAAAATAAACAGGAGATGTCTCTCGTATTCTTCAGTATTTTCGAGCAAATTGTATCAGGTCCCGGGGCAGAAGATACCTTTAGTTTATCTATAAGATTAGAAATTCCAGATGCAGTGACAGTGATCGGAGGCATTAGGGAAAACGGAAGTAGAGGGAGGGAGGGAATATTATCTGGTGGCTCCGTTGTGAAGATGGAAGAAAAGTAATCATTCATTACTGACGGGGCAAGTTCGCCGGGCACGACACCGTCCTTGTCAACTAGCTCAATGGACTGCATACTAGGATTGGGTGTAATCGTTTTCCAAAATTTAGTAGGGTTGGTTCGAAGAATGTTGGGCAAGTCCTGATGAAAATACTTCTTCTTGAAAGTTTTAATTAACGCAGTGTACTCTTTTAGGCACTGAAAATACTTAGTCCACACAGAAGGAGAACCACTAGCCTTCGCTTTTCGAAAAAGGCGCTTCTTTTTGTTATCAATTGATTTCAGCTTTTTATTGTACCATGGTTCCCCAACATCTCCACGAATCCGCAGCAAGGGAACATGTAAGTTGATCAGGTCAGTAACCTTTTGCTTAAATAACAACCAATTGTCCTCTACGGACCGCGACGAAAAAGAAGATAGAAAGACGTCAAAAAAGATGGTGAGCTTAGCATTAATACCAGCGTAATCAGCTTTATTAAAATCGCGTATGACTTTAGACATGGGGGATTTAACTAGAACAGGCAGAGTGATCAATATATTCATTATTCTATGGTCGCTAAGACCAGGCATGTAAATAGTAGATTGCACAAGATCGGGCGATGATACAAGGACTAAATCAAGGATATTATCATCACGGGTAGGCTGGTCGATCATTTGACTAAGATTGAACAACATGCAAACGTCAAAAAAGTGCTTGGAATCACGTGACGTAGATGTGACTAACTGCCAGTTGATTTCAGGGAAGTTGAAATCACCGAACAGTAAAAGATTCGCTTTGGGAAATCGTATCGTGATTTCGTTTAGCGCAGTATGTAGTTTATTAACAAAAGAACAGTCAAAACCTGGGGGCCTATAGCACACTGCAAGAAGCGTTTTGCTAAACTGCGATGAAAGACAAACACAACATAGCTCGAGATCGCAAGATAGTTGAACGTAAAATGAAGGCTTTTCTTTTTTTATGGCCACAAGGACGCCACCACCACGCTGCCGAGGCCGATCGGAACGATATACAGAAAAGTTCATGTTCGAATAAAAAAGCTCATCGTCGTTAACGTCCGGTTTTAACCAAGTTTCCGTAAATATAGCTATGTCGGAGTTGCAGTCGTCGAGAAGACTGCATATTTCATCTTTCTTAGGCAGGAAACTACACTGTTAGCAAGTCCCGTGTATTTGGCGAATATTTGGGGTGAAAAACACGCCATTTACACAAATTACCTTAAATTTACACGATGAGTAACGGATAATTCGTTCAGAAATCATGCGAGGTTGTAAAAAACGTGTTTTGGTTCGGTCATACACGCATAACCGTGTAGCCGACCTCGAAAACACGCATCGCCCCCGTCGACGACGGCGGCATTGCCGGCTATCGAAGCACCGGAATGCTTGGGGACACACTTAGAAAGGACCGTCGAGACAAATGCCGCGGAAAGAAACATGTCTCGGAGACAGATACGCACCAAAAGCAATTGCGCCATGTCGCAGGACGTTGGCGAAACCCACGCTTACCGGGATCGCCGCCATCTTCTGGTCGATGGCAATGCGGCTTGCTTCATGTCGCCCATGTTTGTATTTAGTTTAGGGGTCCTGATAACAGTTTCTTAGACACCACAAATAAAGTTATGGGTCTAATTATTCGTTCCAAACAGTTAAAATGGATATAAAAAGCGTGTCCTCGATGTGAACACGTGACATTGCAGTTGGTTTCGTTTTTGCTTCAACCTCCAACTGCAAGCGATCTGGCGATCTGGCCACGGCGCAAGCGCAACGCCGATGTACGCTGAAAGCAAGCGCCGTTTGGCTTTCGTTGTTTTTGTTTGACCGGAGAAAATCTGGCAAGTACGCATGGCGTCGCTACTGTTTTGGTTTGACGGGACGCGAGAAGCTTCGCATAGAGCTTCGGAGTTTGCGAGCACATAGTGAAGACGTGACCGGAGAAGTGCCCCTGTGATGTTCCTGGAAGACGGAAAGTAGCATTCGTAATCGTCGTGTGTGCTTTGAAAGCGAAGAGAGTCACAGGGTCCACGAGTTCGCAACCACAAGCCAAGGTTCACGACAGCGCGGCGTTGACTTCGGCGATCTCGTTCTGTTTGGTGCAACCCGGCGATGCGAATAAGAGCTGAAACATTCGTCGTGTGTGGTGCGGTGCTTTGTATTCCGGGTCTGTTTGAACCACGCTTTTAACACGGAGCGCATATTGTTTGTTGCGTGGTGGAGGTTCAACGGGTACAGTCCCGTCGTCGTCAGCTGATCCGGTCCAGCTGGTCCGGGAGGACGCAGCGAGCGTTTTTAAAAGTAAATCTTCCCTCGTTCCGTTTCGAACTGTGGAAGTATCCCGACACATACCGTGAGTAAGAAGCAGCGGGCGTTTTCAACAAAATTACGTTGTTTTAATTGAATAATGGACTCCGGATTGTTGTCTTAAATCTGCCGTTTTTTCTGCTTCGTGTTGGACTGCGTTTGCATAGCGACGCACACCGCTCGAGTATGATTCGGTCCTGCAACGAGTTTGTTGTGGCAATCATGCGGCGTGAATAAATAAGGGCAAGGTTTCCTACCTGCCCACAGATGCATGTACTGAGACCATTTTTTATGTTGTGAACGTAGTGCTCTTTCTTTATATTGGAAGACGCGTTGGTGCATTTATTATGGTACAATCATTTGAGAGTTGAGAAATTAGAGAGCGAGCAAGCTTTCTCAACTTTGTCTCTTTCTCTCTGGCACTGCCCTGTTTCAGTTTCAATAGGCATATCTACTAGCAGGTACAAACTGCTCTAAAGCAGGTAAAAAACGGGAAGCTTAGGACGGTGCGGACTCCGTGTTTCGCGCTTTTCGCAAGGTGACAGGGTAAATGCTTTCGTGAGATATGCGGAATATGCAAGCGATTTTGTTACGCCCGTCGTTTGCGTCTCTTCAGCAAAACGAATAAGATGATCTACTACAAAGGCGCAATCACAAGCCAAGATTTAAGATAGCAGTCGTTTGCTTCGGTGATCCGTGTAGCTGTATTTTACCCTGCTCTCTGCAACACCGTGTCATGACGAAGAGCTGGAATGGTCACGGTTTGTGCTGGCCTCCCGGTTGACAGAAACCCGCGTCGCCCGCATCGGCACCGAGTGCGCTTGGGCTGTTGATGCTCCAGCCTTTCATCCGCGGCTTGTCGCCAGCTCATCCTGCTGCTCAACGGTGAGGAAGCGGCGAGAGTAACCTTGGAAGTGAATGTAAATCCTCGTTCATTCAGTAATCCGGTGTCAAAGTGTGGAAGATGTCCAACGTGTACTGAGGGCGGGAACTACGAGCGTTTTGCCTTGCTTTTATAACCGAAACCAGAACAACGAGATATCT